TTACCATTTTACCCTAGAACTCTCTGAGAACTGAAAACCGTTTATTCCTCCCAAATCCTTTGAAAACCTTATAAATTTGAAAAGAGTTTAGTGACATTTACCATTGTATTGAAGTCTTGGTATAACATTGGCACGTATATTTGCATTTTAGTGAAAAATGGAAATAAACCCATGTATTTATTTTAAGAGGAGCTTTCATTTCACAGTGGTTACACATTGAGCTGTTAATTACAAGGACAGCAGTTCAAACCAACAGCCCCTCTGAGGGGAAAGGATGAGGCTTCTCCTCCTGTAAATAATTTGGCTCAGAAACCCAGAGGAGCAGTTCTATCCTGCACCAGTGGTTGCTATGAGCCAGCATGGACTTGATGGCAGTAAGTTCGTTTTTTTAGTTTATATCTTTTAAATAATCAAGTTTGTTAGTTGATATACATGGAAGTACTATAAAGAAAATTAGGAATTAACTGAGATTATATGCACACTGTCAGTTGAACTTTCATTCTGTTATGCATCGGGTCTCTGAGTCAGAGCCAACTCAAAGACACCCAACAACATAAATTCAACAGAAGATAAAAATGAAATATAAAAAAGAAATATTTTCAGGTTAACTGTGGCATTTGCTTGTTCTCACACCTACTTCTAGAATTTGTCTAATGCAAATGCATTTTTGCAATTTTAATTCTTGAAAGCACTCCTATCTAAATTCCATCTTATTACCACATTAAGTATCCAATTATTAGCAATGATTTCCTTTTAACTATTCCATGTGATCTGTATCTCATTTGATTTTTTTAATTTGTAACTTTAAAACCAAAATATTGAGAATGAATTTCTTTCCTGATTTGCTAGGAAATATTAAATTGATTTGTCAACATAAAATCTGCATTAGGACATTTTATTCCTTAGGATCTGTTTGAATAAATTAATTGTTGACTAGAATATTTTCATGCACGTTAAAATAAGACCTGATTATTTTAGATATTTTAAAACCTAGAAATGCATGGAAAAAATAAAAACCCATCCTAAAAATGTTTGTGGTCATTTACTGGTTTATATTGTGTATTCTGGGACGAATGGATTTGGATTCAAAATGTAGCTTTGAATCCTTGCTTGCTCATAGTATTTTTGGCAAAGTTTATAGGCTCATGGTTTCTTCGTGTTCCTTACTTTAAAAGAGTAACATAAGTAGTCCTAACATAAAATTATCCTAGGATTAGTAACTCCCTCTGAGAAGGGAAGGCACAAGCATATTGCTCCCAGAGTTCTGCTTCTTGCATGCACGGGGAAATTCCAAACAGAATGTGCTCAAACCTGTCCCGACAGTCAGTGGAGGGCTGCCGGCAAGTTCTCTCAATAATACACTTGACTTAGCCTCGGCAAGGTGCCTTCCAAGAGAAAAAGTTTACTTTGGGTGTTATGTGGGGGAAACAGCACCTAATTTGGAGGTCTGGGATAATATCAAATTTTTCACAAAACAGACCTTTTAAAAAATGTTGATGCTTTAGATAGGTTTATTGGAATGCTGCCTCACATAAGACAGTGATTTTTAGATGGACTGTTTTTTAGAAAAGTATGGAAAACCTCGAGGATAAGCCAAGAGAGGAAGACCACCAGCATTGATGCATGGAGACTCTGTGTCTAGGGTCGGAACATGGTGATGAGACCATAGCCTCAACCCTGGTGGGTAGCTGCTGAGGCTGGACTCGAACATAGCTTGGCATTTTCAATTTGAAGTGAACCTCTCTCTTCGCTCCAGCAAACTTTCTGCTCAATAAGTGCGGAAAGCATTGCACAAAACTCCATTCACTCCAATAGCTGG